CGGTTGATCTGTTTACGACGAGTTTCCACGTCTTGTGTATCTTGGTACCAAAGGATACAACATAAGTTATTATATTATTACTTTTAGAGTTTTATAATAAAAATAGTTAAACAGGGAAAAACCGTCACATTTTCAAGTGATGCGTACTTTCAAAACATCCGGGTCTTGGTAGAAGACTACTTTTATACTAGTAGGAAATATGGGATTTTCTAGAGTTTTCATACTTATACTAAATGTTTCATCAATCATTCACCAGTCTTTCATATCAACTAATCTAAGCAATGACATTAAATACTTATGAACTCACCAAATAAATGCTGACCTACACTTTCAAAATAACTTGTATTCTCAGGTCACCGGCAGACAGGTACGATGACCAGGTTTTAGAGAAGACAGAGTAGTCAAGCTCGTCTTTCATTTTGATTTGTTATCATGTTGTCTTGTACTATGAAAGAACACACTTGTAATCAAAATTATACTATTAATGAAATGGATGATGTTGTTGCTTATTTACTACTTTACATTTATTGTGATACATTACATGACGTCCTCTGCCCCAGAACGTTTCTGCCGTTCTCGGTTTTGGGGTGTGACAGTAACAACCCTCGGGTTCGTATAACCCCCGAGTCCATAACGACTCCAATCCAAGATTAGCTCTATACATATAACATATAATCATGTAGTAATAGTCACATAGACAATCAAGCACAAACACAAGGTATTCCTTAAGACTTCCTTATAAAAATAAAAATTTAAAAAGTAAATCCCTACCAAAACTCAACGGTCAAAGTTAACAACCAACGTTGACTTTAGTTTACTGCCACATCGTGGCCCTTATACTATCAAACAGACGGAAAATTCCTAGTTTCCATGATGTGGCGACCTATGACCACACTGTGGGTGATGGGCTACCAACAAATTAAGAATTAAGCCATTTTCTTCAATTCCAATAGTTACAAAGATCAGATCTGGTCCATTCTATTGTCTAAATGGATAAACTGTCCAACTTTATCCATTAAGACACCCAATGAGATCAAGATCTCCAACCCTAGGTCCAAAATCAACCAAATATCAAATCTATCATAAAGACGAAAGCTTTATAAACATGCATGCCAATACATGTCTAGAATCCATTCTAGGTCATAATAAGCGAAAATGCCCAAAAACTCAAGAAATGATAAGAACTCCAACCAAAGTCTAGATCTACAACATATGATGCTCTTGGGACTCAGGTGAGTCATAAAGTTGCAAACTTTATGAGTTCCTTCCTTTCAAATTTTCTCAAGCATGAAGAACATGAGATAATATTCTAGATCTATCCACCTTAATCCAAAAAGATTGAGCCTTTGATACTTACAAAGGTGCAGAAGCTATGTAAGATGATGACGGTGCTGCTTTGTTGCAAGATCCGACAATAGAGCACCTTCTCCCCTTATTCTCTTATTCTCCAAGCTACCAAATGCTCCAAAAAGGTCACAAATATCCAAGAGAATGGGGGCTAGGGTTTCTCTGAGGTATAAGGGGGGTTGGATGGTGTAAATGAACCCTATAAATTTCTTAGAGAGGCTTAAATAAGAAGGAAACCCTAGAAGATCATGGGATTGGGCTAGAATCGCTACCACGTCGTTGCCTTCTGTGGCCACATCATAACAGTCCAATAAAACACGAGATTATTTAATTATTTCCATGCCATGGGCATCCGTGCTCCACACCATGACACTGAGTTTCCTCCAAAACTCCATCATTGGTCCTTGATAGAAATAAGTTTAACTATTCTAGAACACAGGTGTTACATGAGGGTTCATCAGAGTTGTATTCTAGAGTTATTTTGAGAGAGGTATTTGATTAACTTGGTTCCTATTCCTTTTCACGAGAGCAAAGTCATCATGGGGCTGGATTGCTTGAGCCCTTATAGGGTGATGATTGACTACGAGCATCAGCTAGATAGAGTTCAAACCACGAGTGGGGATAATTAGTTATATTGGGTAATGGTAATTAATATGGACCAACTCTTTGTTTAGCTACGAGAGCTAGGAGGTATCTTTAGCAAGGTTGTTCTGGTTTTATGGCTTATGTGTTGAATACTCATAATGAGAGAAAAAAGATGGTTGATGATGTGCTAGTCATTTGAAAGTATCCCGATGTATTTCCTGAGGATTTTCTTAGAGTGCCTCGGGAGAGGCAAGTTGAGTTTCATATTGATTTGGTTCCAGCTGCGACTTTAATAGCCAAGGCATGCTCTCGGTTAGCACCACCTGAGATGCATGAGTTGTTTACACAACTGCAGGAGCTGTTAGACAAAGGGTTAATCAGGCTGAGTAGTTCATCTTGGGGAGCATTGATACTGTTTATAAAGAAGAAATATGGTTCTTACAGGATTTGAATTAACTACCAAGAGTTAAACAAGTTAATGGTGAAGAACCATTATACACTCCTGAGGATTGATGATCTGTTCGACCAGTTGTAGGGTGCATCTTGGTTTTCCAAGATTGATTTGTGTTCGTTCTTCTATTAGACGAGAGTTCAATATTGTAACATATAGAAGATAGCTTTCTAAACACGTTAGGGTCATTATGAGTTCATGGTGATGCCTTTTTACCTTACCAATGCACCAACAATGTTCATCGACCTCATGAACATGGTTTGTAAGTCGATGATGGATCAGTCAGTGATCGTCTTCATTGATGATATCTTGATGTATTCTAAGACCAATATGTAACATGAGGATCACTTGTGAGAGGTCCTGGAGACTTTGAGTAGGGATAGGCTTTATGCTAAATTCTCCAAATGCAAGTTCTGGGTTTGCGAGGTGTAGTTCTTAGCGAACCTTGTCAATCAGAAAGGTATATTGGTAGACCCGACCAAGATCAAGACCATGATGCAGTGGGAGGTCCCGAGGTATCCATCTAGGATTTGGAGTTTCCTTGGCCTTGCAGGGTATTACTGGAGGTCTATCAAGAATTTCTATAGGATCACAGTTCCGTTGACCAGATTGATGAAGAAGACAGTTACCGTCCGTTAGGGGCCTGAGCAGTAGATGAAATTTGATACTCTGAGACAGAGATTATACAAGGCTCTGATTCGGACCCTACCTAAGGGTGTTGACGACTTTGTGGTTTATTGTGACGATTCAATCACGAGATTGGGTGTCGTACTTATGCAATGGGGTCATGTGATCGCTTATGCATCGAGGTTGTTGAAGCCTCATGAGATGAATTACCTTACGCAGGATCTGGAGCCAGGGTTTATGGTTTCCACCCTCAATATTTGGAAACATTATCCTTATGGGGTCCATTGTACCCGAAGGTTTGTATCAATCAGATCCACTCAAGTATGAATAACAAATAACAAACAAACAAAAAAAAATTAAACAAAAAAACCAAAGAACACATATAATCAAAAAGATACTTTCAATAAGAAAGAGGTTTCTCACAAAGAGAACGAGGTTACAAAGACGGTCACCAAGACTACATTAGGGTTTCATCCTAATGTTGATTATATACGATTACAATAACTAAGATCCCACTATTTAGGGGATGTTGGCCTATATAAGTAAATGTCTGATCCTAATCACTAAGATCACAGATCATATATTTATTCTATATATACAATGTGTAAATATCACTAAGATTATGAAGTTTATGCTGACGCTGATAAGTTGGGATTGGCGCTGGCAATGTCCCTGGTGGTTAGCATGTAGTGTTTGATTCATCAGATCATAAGGTGTGACCTTACAATCTCCTCATATCAGATGATGCCAAAATAAGTTCTTCCCCCCTAAAAGTGGTTGTGATTCATTGTGACTGGTTCTGAAATGGTTCGCAGTCTTGTTCACGTCCAAATACTTGAGATTGTGATGGCGTGCGATCGTTCGCAGTTAGTCGCATCCAATCACAACCTAATTCCTTCTTGCAACCTTTTTTTTTATCTGAAACCCCTTTTGCATTCAACATTCTTTTTCACATTAATCAGCATGTTCGCATCTAATACCTTTTTCATTCAAATAGCCTTTCGTATTCACATCATTCCCCTTTTTGTTGATAGAGTCTAATCTTCATTTAAAGATTTTTTTTCCTAGACACGAATGAACATATCTCACCCTAAGAAAATGATGGGTATTTGGTATCTCCCTTTGAGAATATGAATATATCTCCCCCCTTTTTGACATTAGCAACACTGTTGTACTAGCGGACCAATTAGCGTATCAACGAATCAAGTTTGTAGCTATCATTTAAGTGAGATTGTGATGTCTCCTGATAGCATGGGTTTGAACTATCATTCCCTGGCATAGTGTCGTGAAGTCTCACCAGCGTATGCTTTCATACGCTGACTCATCAGCTTCTTCTATTAGAATAATAAAGGGTGAGAGTTGGATGATGCATGTAATACATTCCAGTACATAATGAACCCATTGGCACAAAATTTTCGAATTCTCATTAGCGTGTGGTTTCAAATGCTAAATCATAAAATTCTAAAGAAGAAAGTAAGGCAAGAATGGATTGGTGCATGTGATAAGATACAATACATAGCCCAACCATGGGTACATATTTTTTTCAAGATCTCATCAGCATATGGTATGCTACGCTGAATCATAAGACTTTTAAGAATAATTTAAGGTAAAGAAGGGACGGGTGTGTATGATAACCTTCGGTACATAGAGTAACCGCCGGCACAGAGTTTCAAACATTTATCAATGTGTGGTATATCATAGTGAATCATTATTTTTTATAAAGAAGAGTCTAAGGAGAGAATGGGATGTTTCAATCATGGTGTGGTGAAATCAATGTGAATCATAAACAGTGTAAACTTGTCACAAGAGGTGGTTCATCTTCTGTACCATGAACGAATGAACTAGTTTCTAAGATTCATAGAAATCAGTTTATTAGTTTAAATTATGAGTTTATGTTTATTGTAAAATTGTTTATCAAATTATGTTTATTGTAATTGCTTGAATGTTGAAAGTTGAAAACTTGAAAGTTGAAACTTATGAACTTGTAGTGATGAAGTCTAAACAACCATCCGCTTATAAAAAACGTAAAAAGAGAAAACTAGACGAAGAAAAGAGAAAGGTTGACATTGGTGCTCTAGATAAGTTTATCCATAGACAACCTGTTGAAGATTATGTTGAAGAGCACATTGAAGAGCTTGTTGAAGATCACATTAAAGAGCACATTGAAGAGCAAGAGCTTGTAGAAGTAGAAGAGACAGAAGAGCATGATCCGGTTAAAGATATTGTTGATATATATGATCCAAGAAGGTGGGAAAAACTTAATTCTAATGGGATTAAAATTTTGGTTGAGAAAGGTCCTAAAAGAGATAATAGTATTATGAATGGTCCCTACGATAAATTTGGTAGATGGTTTTCTGCAGCTTTATATACAAGAACTTTATCAAATTTGAAGAAGTGTGATAGAGAATGGTTAGTATATTCAAAAGAGCTAGATAGGGTATTTTGTTTCTGTTGTAAAGTGTTTAGAAAAGGAATTTCGAAAGGTAAATTGGATGGTGAAGGTTATGCAGATTGGCACCATGCTACCACTAGGGTTTAAGAACAAGAAATTTCATTGGATCATCATAAAAAAATAAGAATACGTGGTTTGACATGCGTAAAAGATTGAACTTGAATGAAACAACCGATAAAGTTCAACATGAGCATTTCAATAAAGAAAGATATTACTGGAAACAAGTGATTTTAAAATTATTGCAGTAGTGAAGTTTCTTGCTAAACATAATCTAGCATTTCGTGGATCCAATGAAAAGTTGTTTCAAAAAGGTAACTATAATTGTATTTTTTTGTTCCAGTTCCACCAAAAATCTTTTTGTTAATTATGATGTTAGATTCCACTTATTATTTGTTAATATTATTTAACAAGTAATGGAAATTTTTTGGGTGTCATTGAAATGTTGGAAGAGTTTGACCCGGTTATCAAAGAGCATGTGCGACGGATCACAAGTGAAGGGCTTCATGTGCATTATCTTGGCCACCTGATCCAAAGCGAACTAATATCTTTGCTAGCTGAAGAAATTAAAAAAGAACTTATAAAAAAGATAAAGGAAGCAAATTACTACTAAATCATACTTGATTGTACTCCCGATTCAAGTCACCAAGAACAGATGATTATAATACTGAGGTATTTAAAGTTATCATATAATTTTGTTACTATCAAGGAGTCCTTTTTAGGTTTTTTGAATGTAGATGATACCTCCGGAAAGGGATTGTTTGATATTACACTTGAGGAGTTAAAGTCTCTTGGTCTTCAAATTGATGATATGCATGGTCAAGGCTATGATAATGGAGCAAACATGAAAGGAAAACACCAAGGAGTGCAAAAGAGATTTTTAGATCTAAATCCTAGAGCATTTTACACTCCTTGTGGTTGTCATTCTCTTAATCTAACATTATATGATATGGCTAACAAGTGTGTTAAAGGAAATTTTCTTTTTTTGGATTCATCCAACGTATAACGCCCGTGCTTTTGGGCTAAGCATTAAAGATGATATAATAGTCTAGGTCAACTATTGTAGCGTGTTTTGAAGTAATAAGAATGAATTATGTGAATCTATGTGTTTTATACTTAATTATTATGATTTAATAAATTAAGGATAAAAAATAAGTGTCAAATATAAATGTTAGATAGACTCAATATCTATGAAGAAAGTTGTAGTGGTTGAAATAAGGATTCCAGAGATATAAAGAATACCGAAATCCGAGTTATAACGAAAAGGTTATGACATGTCGAAGTTTTGCGACAGAACCAGCACGACGATGTATGATGTAAAAAGTGTATTTACGATAAAGTGCTTTTTAGCCTTAGCAATCTAAATGAAAGTCATAGTATACGTTAAAAAGAGAGTGTGCATAAAAAGAACGCCCAAATCTGACTTCGTATGAGGAAGTTATGATTTTTCTAAGTTTCAGCTTAACAATATGCAACCCGAAACTCGAATTTTAGATCGAGTATTTTTAGGCGAAACAACCTAAATGAGAATCGAAGATCTCGTCGATAGTAGTTTAATGTAAAAATACAAGTGAAAACGGACGTTGGATGAAGAAATGAATTTTTAACGGACTTTTCCTGTCCCGGCCTGTTAAAAATATAACTTTAAAAATAAAATCAAAATTAGCCAATGGAGTCTAAAAGAAAGTTGTAGAGCATAATTTCACCTACGCGTGGATATAAAGAACGTCAAAAAAAGGAGCTCGTATGCAAAAAATATGATTTTTTGAAGTTTTGGGCACAAAATACGAGGCTGATCCGAAGGTGTACGCCCTGCGTAATCATGTTAGTGCTCCGGAGTCCGTCATCCTCCCTATTCCTTCACATGAGTGCCACGAGTTATAGCCTTGACGCGTCCGAGTTGATCCACTTCATACGCCCAGCGTACGAAATTATGCCCAGCGAAGAGATTATTAGGGCAGTACGCCCCGCGCACATAAGGATTTACGCCCAACGTAAATCGTGTTTCAGCACCCTATAAAGCAAGACATGTGGGTTTTGTTTATAAACTTTACTTTATCTCACTCTAAAACCCTTCTTTAGCCTACTTTTAACCCCCCCAAAGTCCCGGTATCATCCCTAATACCCGAAGCAAGTTCCAAAGCCCCGAAGTCCCCGAGAAAATAAATTTTCGAGTCGAAACTCTGCCCACGCACAACCTGGTTTTTGAGAAAACATCCCGATTTCATCGAAGAATGTTGTTTTTAGGGATGAAGTGTTGTCCAACCGTCGTCTTATCAAGTGAGTGTGTAGTCACTTTCATCTTACACATAGATATAAAGTATTTTATATAAAATATATGCTATGTGAATAGATATTGTTTGTTTATTAGAGATGGAGGTTGAATGAATGATTTATACATGTTTAAATGATTTAAATTGTATATGTATTTTATATCTACAAAAAATGTTGGGTAAAACATGGGTATATGAAATAGTTGGTATGTGATGAAAGATGAGTTGGATAAATGCGATGATCAGTGATATAGATCATGAGATGAGGGTGAGGGGTAAAATATGAGAGAAGCACTTACCCAAACGTTGGCCCCCGTCATTCGACAGAGTATGGATGACAACCATGGACTATTGTAGACGGTTTTTGTGGAACACTATCAAGCTCGTAACCTGTAGGTGTTGTGAACTATATGTTCGTCAGATGTACTCTAAAAACCCATTGACATGTGTTGCAGGTGGATTCCCATGAATATTACTGTCGATAAATGAGAGCTTTAGACTTAGCACATGTTGTATAAACCCTGGCAGCTATGGAGTTAGTGCCTATTGTATAAACCCTGGCAGCTATGGATTTAGTGTCTGTTGTATAAACCATGGCAACGATGTGACTTTGTGCCTATTCCTTAGGATGCATCCTTCGGAATGAGTGATAGATGGCTCTTAGGGTAAATCCTTAAGAGATAAAGAAGATAATGGGGATGGGTAATTGGGTTAATTGTTTGATGATAAAACACAATAACTTTATTATTGTGGGTTGAAAACCCTATGTACTCACCAGATTTCCCAACCTGATCCACTCAAGTTATTTTTATCACATGTGTCAATACGAAGCCACGTTACACTGAGAGATTAAAGAAGATGTAAAATCACTAGTGTAAATGAATGTAAGTTCTATTTATGCTTATGTTTTTGTATTGACGATGACATCCCAAAGTTTTAAAATGAATAAAATATATTTCCTCGGAAATAATTTGATAATATATTATCATGTTTTTTGGGAAAAATTCCACAACGTATTTCCTAAAAAGATACTCTTATTTTTAAAATCAAGCATAAATAAATCGGTCTTTTTGGGCCGTGAAATTGGGGATGTCACACAACGTATTTATACTATCTTTGGAAATTTTACTAAGAGGTGGGAAATTTTGAAAGATAATGTTAAAGCTTGGAGCCTTGAGTCATTGTGTCAAACTCATTGGGAAAGTCGGGTTGACAATGTAAAGACTATTAAACTGCAACATGTGGATGTTCGGGAAGCTTTACTTCAAGTTAGAGAAAAAGATAATGATGTTGCTGCAATTGTAAGTGAAGCAACTTCACTAGCAGAAAAAGAACTTAGTGACTTTGAATTTTTGGTGTATGAAGTACTAAATCATATGAATATTGTGAGTAAGAAGTTACAATCAAAGGATATGAATCTTGATAATGTTATTACAGAAATAAATAAATTGATTGGGTACTTCAAGGATTATAGAGAAACTGGTTTTTCAAAAGCGATTATTGTAGCTAAGGAGATTGCTATTGAAATGGGTATTGATCCAATATTTCCACAAAGGCGTTTGATTGAAAGGAAAAAAAGGTTTGATGAGAGTTCAAGTAGTGAAGAAGTTTCATTTACACCTAAAGAGAATTTCAGAGTCAAATATTTCTTATACATTGTTGATCAAGTTATTTCTTCTCTTAAGATAAGATTTGAACAATTCAATGAGTATGATAAAGTATTTGGTTTTTTATTTCCACATAATTTGAGGGGAATTGAAGATGAAGATCTTAAGTTGTATTGTCATCGTCTTTAAAAAGCACTCAATTTTGAAGAAAGATCGGATATTGATGCGGTGGAACTTTATACGGAGTTGAAATTATTTGAGACATTAGAAACAAATGAATTTAGTAACCATATAGATGTTTTGAAGTTTTTGAAAGAACTTGATTATTTCCCAAATGCGAGCATTGCATATAGAACATTGTTGACTATTCCAGTAACGGTCGCATCTGCAAAAAGGAGTTTTCCAAATTGGAATTTGTGAAATCTTACTTACGCTCCACAATGACCCAAGAAAGACTTAGCGGTTTGCCAATGATATCTATCGAGAACGAAATCTTAGAGAGTATAGACTACGAGGAGTTGATCAACCAATCTGCAATCAAGGATAGTCGGTTAGCTTCAAGGATAGTCGGTTAGCTGTTAGGATATGTTATTAGTCATTAAAATACTTTGATTTTGCTATGTTTATTGCTATAAGGTTTATCACCATTTTAATAAAAAATTAGTTTATGTAATTTAATTCGTTAAAGTGTTATATGTTAAGGCCTAAGGGATTTTTTTATTCGATTCGTCCTGGGCATTTGAATCCTCAGAACTGACCCTGTTGCTCTAGCAACGAAGTAATCATTGTCATCCTCAGACATATGTCTCGAATCGGGGGCACCACTTCCTTGGGGCTCAGGGCATCGGCCACCACATTAGCCTTGCCCAGGTGGTAAAGGATCTCACAGTCATAGTCCTTCACCACATCTAACCACCGATGTTGCCTCATCTTTAGATTCGGCTGACCCATGAGGTACCTCAAGCTCTTGTGGTCCGTGTAAATGGTACAAAGAACCCTATAGAGGTAATGCCGCCAAATCTTGAGGCCAAAACCCACATCCCCTAACTCTAAGTCATGTGTCGGATAGTTCGCCTCGTGAGGCTTCAACTGCCTCGAAGCGTAAGGTATCACGTGACCTTACCGCATCAAAACCGCACCCATACCCGTTATCGAAGCGTCACAGTAAATCACAAAGTTGTCGATGCCCTCCAGAAAGTTCAGAATCAGTGCCTCGCATAACCGTTGTCTAAATGTCTCAAAGGCCGCCTGCTTGCTCAGGCACCCAGCAGAATGTCACTAACTTCTTGGTCAGTCGAGTCAAAGGAACAACGATCTTGGATAAATCTCGAATGAATATCTGGTAGTACCTGTTAGACCAAGAAAACTCTGAATCTTAGTTATAGAACTCGGAACCTCCCACTGCATCACAACCTATATCTTGGCCGGATCGACAAAAATACCCTTCTGGTTGACAAAGGGCCCAAGAAACTGCACCCCGCGCAACCAGAACTCACACTTGGAGAACTTTTCGAAATGTCTCTCCCTCTTCAGTGTCTCCAGTACCCCCTCAGTTGCTCCCCATGCTGCTCTTGAGTCTTGGAATTGAACAAGATATCATCGATGAAGACTATCACAAACCGATCCAGCATTGGTCTGCACACGCAGTTCATGAGGTCCATGAACTCATAGTGACCATAGGCATCACCACGAACTCATTGTGACCATAGCGACTCTTAAAAGCTGTCTTCTGCACATCGTCGTCTCTGACTCGCATCTGGTGATAACCCAATCGTATATCGATCTTAAAGAACCAAGATGCACCCTATAGCTTGTTAAATAAATCATCAATCCTTGGGAGGGGAGAATGGTTCTTCACCATTACCTTATTCAGCTCCTGGTAGTCTATATACACGCGATGTAACCCATCCTTCTTCTTCACAAACAGGATCGGGGCTCCCCATGGTGAACTGTTCGGTCTGATAAATCCCTTGTCTAACAGCACTTGCATCTATGTAGACAAATCCTGCATCTCGAGAGAATCCAACCGATACGGTGCCTTGGCTATCGGAGCCGCACCAGAGACTCGGTCAATTCTGAACTCAGCTTGCCTCTCCAGAGTTATCCCGAGTAAATCCTCCGGAAATACATCCGGGTACTCTCGCATGATCAATACATCATCCACTCTCGTCTTACCCTTATCCCAGGCATCCATGACATAAGCTACATAACCTGTGCAACCCTACTGAAGGTAACACCTAGCCCTCGCTGCTGAACATAAAGTCGGTCCACACTGCGGCCTCTCGCTCTGAATCACTAACCCTCCCCCACTAGGAGTTCGAATTCTCACTAGTTGTTGCTCGCTTCCGATCAATGCCCCCATTGGGGCTCAACCAGTCCATACCAACTATAAACTTATTCCCTCACAGGAGAATAGGGACTAGATCCACAAAAAACTACTCATCAAACAATTGTTGTGTACATCCACGATGAACCCTCGCAACTCGAAAGGTCCTGTCATCTGCTATCTCTACAACTAGTGGACAGTCCAGCTCCCCTGGAGCTCCCATAAAACGCTTGCCCAGCACGAGCGACACAGAAGATCGGGTAACCCTTGAATCAAATAATAACAGAGTTGATATACCGTTCACTAAGAACGATCCTATAACAAAACACATAAACATAAGCAATAATCTGTATAAATAAAGAGATAATAAGACACATACCCGTCACCACATCCGGAGTTGCACGTGCCTCCTCTGCTGTCAACTGAAAGGCCCTACTCTTTGCCACAGACACCTCTACCCAACCCTGATGGTCGTCTGTAATCCTCAACGTAGCAGGAGTGGGTGTTGCCACCTGTCCGGCTGCTGCTAAACTCAGGCACTGGGACCACTTGCGTCCCCCTCTGATTGCACTGAAAGCAAATTAGATCTTATATTATGGGTGGTGGTGGTAGTTGTACAATCTTTGCGCATATGTACAGTTCGGATGCACTTAAATCAACCTGAACTCCTTGCCTTGCACGTCCCGTCGTGCAATTTGTCGTATTTTCCACAACGGTTGCGGCCCTTTGGGCTCCTAGATCTGTGGTCTAACACCTTGGGTTTCTTTCCCGCACTCCCTGACTGAAATCCCTCTGGCTTCCTCTTCTTTTATTTCCAAATCCAACTCTCTTTCTCGAGCCCTAGCAATCATGTCTTCCAGCATCTTGTAGTTGGATCGGCTCATAAACTGACGGATATCATTCAGCAACATCTTATGATATCGGACCTTCTTCATCTCCTCACCTGCCACGTACTGTGGAACAAGAAGGGCCCTCTCCTTGAACATAGTGGTGATCTCAGTCACCGTCTTAGTCGTCTGCTGGAGATCCTAGAACTCCCTAGCAAGTTATTGCACCTCTATCACAGGTGCAAACTCGACCCTAAACTTGGCCGAGAAGTCACTCCGGATCATTACATCTAAAGTTGCATCATCTACAATGGCATGTCCAACTTCCTCCTACTAGTCACGTGTTATGTCCTTCAGAAGACAGGATGTAAGTCGTACCTTGTCCCCCTCAGTACATCTACTCGTACGGAAGGTGTTGGCGACATCAACCAACCATTTGGTGCTAGCAATAGGGTCCTGAACCCCATGATAGTCAAGAGCTCTGAACTCCCTGAATGTTAGCATGCACAACCCCATCATGGTTGCCACCTCGGTGTGGAAAACACTATGTCTCTCATCCAAAATCTCCAAGATACCCTCCTTGATCATACACGTGACCTTAGACAAAATGAACTCTCTCATTTGCTCATCGAGTTGCCTGGCTCCAGAGCCTGAGCTTGATCCCTCACCGGCGCCTAAAATGCCGACTGGTCTAGTGTGTAGTGTCAGCATACTGAAAAACACATCATAACAAACATAAGAATACCTATCATATCTCGAGGGATCACATATACTACAAGTTTCCTGGATTCATCTTAGCATTCCTTTATTCGAGTACGGATCCTCTACTTTTAGTAGTACGGGCCCATACTACCTTCCACATCTATCTGTACTTTCCTCAAGAACTACCTTGACTCCACCAAGTCCCTTCTACTACTACTGATCCATGCACTAATCTCATTATAGGCTTCCCCTAGGGTAATCACCATCCCACTCTCCGCCATCAGTTGCATAAGAAGTCCCTGCTATCTCCCCTTAACTAGCTCACGAATACCATTACATATCACTAAGACTAGATAATTCTTCTAATGCGAGGTCCTACCCAACAACGGTTAGACTCAAAAAAGGGCTACGAAATAGAGCTAAACCTAACCTTCTAAAATTATTTAGTCCTCTCAATATGTAACTTAACATATTTGTTTACTAGTTACTTAAGGATAACCAGAACTCCTAAGAGCACAAAGCAACCAGCATTCGAGCATTGACTAAACATGATCAAGCATATCCTAATTAGTACTGGCATGCAGTTTATCAAGCACATACACATATATCAGGCACATAAGGCATCCTTCCTAGATCCTTAGCCCTAATCTAGCATGCAATTCTCATAGACATATGATAACATAAACTTGCATGGGTAATTTGGGAGAACTTACTTGAGCTCAGCTGATTGCATGCACCACACCCTTTTTCTCTTTTCAACATCATTTTTGTAAAAAAAATGGTTTTCTTTTGAATATCTTTATACTAAGTCCTCAATTTGAGTCCAGACACATCCGAGAGTGTGCCCGAATCCCTCAAACCAAGGCTCCAATACAAACTTGAAATATCTCAAAAATACAGTCCAGAAATTTCATTTTTAAAGAATTAATGAAACCATAAATGTCACTCATCATATAAAAATCATAAATCATGTATCTCAAAAATATCATAAACAACTATCAATATATCAAAATCATATGTCAAAACATCAGAGTAAATCATCCCAAGCTAAACGTTGTGTCCCAAGCTAGGGGTGTTGATCGGGTAAATTTTTCGGGTTTCGCGTAATTCGGGTTTTTCATGTTAAGAAAAATACCCGTTACCCGACCCAAATTAAATTCGGATAATTCGGGTAATTCGGGTAGTGGGTCGGGTTTGGGTAATTCGGGTATTACCCGATTTTTTTATTTTTTTAATGGACCTAAAAATAAATTTAATGAAATAAATATGTCGTGCTCAAACTTTGAACATTGAGATTTTTTAGTCAATAATAATTGAAGATTTGTAAATTAAAACACTAGATGTTGTGTTTGTCTTGAAACTTCACATAGCCATGTTACATTATCATTGACTGATCAGATTAGAATAAAGTTCATGTGTTTTTGATGTTTTGAAGGATATTGCAACAAGAGTTATTAATCATGGGATTGATTTGGTGAACGCAAAGGTGATGACATGGAATCCGATTTTTGTTTTGTCTGATACTTCTGATGTGGAAGCTCTACAGAAGATGGTGGAAGGTTTAGTTTGTAACAAATAATTTATATTGGGCTTAATTACTTATTGATGAACTTTTTCTAATCTTATGAGTTAAATTATGAATACAGGAGAAGTTACACGATTGCTTGTTATAGAGAAGGGAAGGTTATTGGTTTAGTTTACATACTGGATTGTTTACATGATGCTGACAAAATTACGGGAAGGAAAGCCGCTAAGCTTATGGCAGCGAATTGGGATGCCCTTGAGAGGTATTGTCGAAGGATTTAATGAACAAACAAATAAAATCACATATGCATGCATGACTGTCATCACTAAATCACAATAGTTTCTGATTTGTGAACTTGGTTGTATGTTTTAATTATATTTTTTTTGGTTAATGATAAATTTTGTCATATAAGTATTTGAGAGTTATCTTTTTCGCTGTATGATAGTTCAAAAAACGATAAATCGGACCCTCAAAACACGATTTTGGATGTATGTGACCGTTGTGACATTTAAAGTGCCTTGAACTGTATAACATTGGATTGGCATATTGACTTTTCATACAACTTCAATTACAAAGTTTAATACAATATATTTTAAAAAAAATTACAATTTTTTTTCTCATGGAACTTATACTCCAATTATTATTGATCTGTGACGAACACGAACAAAGAGCGGACGACGGACGAGAGTTTTTTTTTTGACGTAGAGAAAATAGAACGAGTCTCAACGAGGGAAATTGAGATTTGGGAATTGGAACGGATAAACTCATAAAGGGACATTATTTGTTAAATATATTTCGGGTAATCGGATATACCCAAAACCCATAAAATTTACCCTTTACCCGACCTGAATAAAAATCGGGTTACCCAAATACCCGAAAAAATTAACCCGATATCCGATTTACCCGACCTGAATTACCCTATACTCGAAAAAATTGGGCGGGTAATTCGGATAACGGGTTTTTTCGACAGGGCTATCCCAAGCTCTTCCCCTTACTAGCGGAAGTACTTGAAACCAAAATTGAAAACTGTAAGCACGAAGCTTAGTAAGTCTCTCCAAACTACCACATACCATACACGTAATCACATAAACACATAGCATATACTTGGGCCTAGCCTACTACATCAGGCCACGCCCGGCATCAGACTGAAGTCCGGTATCGAGCCCCGCTCGACATTGGACCAAAATCCGGCATCGCGCGCCGCCCGCCATCGAGCAAAGCTCGGTATACATAAGCATATCAAAAAATACATATAAACATTCCTCGGGCCCCGCCTGGTACCAGACCGAAATCTGAAAGCATATAAACGTTCCTTGGGTTTGCCCCAACATCGTACCGAAGTTTGGAAACATACAAACAAACACATGCCAGAATCACGAAGACATCAAGCATACAAACATTCCTCAGGAATTCCCCAGCATCGGACCGAAGTCCGGAAACATATAAACCTACATCGGGCACAACTTGACATCAGACCTAAGTCTGGCATCTTCTAACATACATAAACGGGCCGACATTGGTGCCTTCGACCCATTCATATATGAGGAAAACTCACCTCACAAAGTTAGCTGTGAAATCTCGCGAAAGGAATCTCTGACGACTGCTCCAACGACTCCCCGACTATCATTATCACAAAATCACTCGGTCAAAATCCAATAATCATTCTTAGGGTAAAATGACCATTTTACCTCTATTGAAATTCAACATTCTGGCCAAAGTCAACATTCTAGGTTGACTCAACTCGCCGAGTTGACCCATCAACTTGTCGAGTTCTATAAATCAGGAACACTGAATTGTGATCCAACTCGTCGATTCATCCCCCTGACTCGTCGAGTTCCCTTGCTACTCGTAGTCGTGATAAATCGATTCAACTCGTCGAGTCCCTCCTCGGACTCGTCGAGTTCTACCTATTACAGAATCGGGACAAATCGACTCAACTCGTCAAGTTCCTCTATGGATTCGACGAGTTCCTTATTCTGTTTGGGTAATCTTAATGGATTAAGCCCCTACTCTTCATATCTAAGCTTCATATTCCTCATATACACTGAAAATGTCTTTTTAAGGGTAAAGTTTCCAACTTTACCCGTTGGTACCTTTACTTAATGGGTTTAGCTCAAACCCTAACTCTTTTAGGACCTAGATCTTGGTCCACAAGCCATCCACACTCCAAACTAAAGCATACAAAGAGAGATCTAGACCCTAAACACTACATGAACACATAAAGCTTCCACCTTTCACTTCATGCATGGCCTTTTGGATCTTAAAAGGCCAAAATGATATCCTATGGCTTGCATGGGGCTTCAATGGTCATAAAGTTTGCACCTTTATTCCATGAAATCCCTCCATGATTCCAGATCTGAGGGTTCACTCACTTGGGACGTCCATACCCCAAAGTTCAAGCTTCTTGGACCAAAAATCCAATAAGATGATGATAAAGAGATCCAAGAAGCTACTAAGAAAGTTTGAAACTTGTTTACCAGAAAATGATGAGGAAGAAATGAAGTCTCTGGATCTACTATCTTCTTCTTGAATCCCAAAGCTTCTCCTTCATTATAAGCTTCAAAATACACAAAGATTCACTCAAAAATGGCTCATAAGCTCACAATTGCATTAGGGTTTCTGAATGTAAGGTTTGGGACTTGGAGGCTGGAAATGAGGCCAGCAAGTGGAGATTAAGATGCTTAAATAGGGTACAAAACCCCGAAATCAGGGTTTCATTCTGGCAGTCCTACTCGTCGAGTTGAGGCTCTCAACTCGTCGAGTAGGTTGCTTAAAACCCGCGTCCCTTCTAATCTCTACTCGACGAGTTTGGAGCTACTAAATCATTGAGTTGCTTTATAAAAATAAATTAATTATTATTTAAATGCATACCAGGAACCAGGCGTTACAAATATATAGATGGTCGAAATCGGAGTTGTATCGAGAAAGTTATGGTCTTCGGAAGAATTAGGGTTTGGGGAAAGCCCTAGTACGCAGGGCGTACTGATGCGAAGGAAGGTATGCGAGGCATAGTGAGGAGTACGTGCAGCATAGTGTGAAGATGGTTCGGGGCACGAGACGTCGTACGCTGAGCGTACGAAGAAGTACGTTGAACATACAAGGAGCAGATGGAAACCCTAATTTTTTGGGATATACCCAAAATAAGTTGAATGTTAGCCCTTTTCCTTCATTCCTAAGTCACCATCCACCCTTTAAAAACCCTAAATCAACCTTATATCCTCTTGGAGGTGTTCTTGAGCTATTGGGAGGCTTTGATGCTCATTTTTTTCCCTTGGGAAGCAAATAAGAGAAGTTGGAAGTTGTTTGGCTTGGTGGGAAAGCTTTGGATCTAGAATCATCACCTTGTGGGGAAGATTTTTAAGGTAACAAGTTTGTATCTTGGCATGTGGATGATTAGATCTCTTCATAGCTAGTTTATTATGATTTTGGTCTTCTTTTTGAGATTATGGATGAGTTAGGTTGTTTATGGGTTCATCCTTTCAAATCTAAACTTAATTTGGTATCCTTGAGCATAAATGTGAAAGCTTTATGTGTTGTATGGAGTCATGCATGCATTATGTCAACCAATAAGTCCCTATTAAGCTTAACAACTTTTTCTAGTCATGATTTAATGTAAAGTTAGCAACTTTACATAGTATTCCAGCTCAAGGAGGTCAGATCTGTGGTTTGGAAAGCTTTATCTTAATGGATTAAGTGAATATCGGGTTGGTCTGAATAAGGGTGAGTACGTTGGGTATACAAGCAGGTACGTGCAGTGTACAAGCCTCCAAGCAAGTACGTTGCGTGTACGTGCCTATACGTCCAACGTACTCAGTCTGATGGGCTTTGTGTGTTTGGGCTAGCTTTTGGGATTGGATTGCTTGGGGATTTATTGGGCCATATGTAAACAAGTTTTTGGATTGGAAAAATGTTAATGGGCCTTAGGGTAAGACTTATGTAAGGTTTTGGGCATAATTTGGAAATTTTAGCCATAAATGGGCTTTGGATGATTATTGGTTGATTGGCCTTTATGATGAAGAGTTTGGGCTTTAGTCTTAGATTAAACTAGGTGAGGGGTAAAATGGTCTTTTACCCTATATATGGATTATTGGATTCGGTTTGGAACCCAATTGTTAATTGGGTGTTAATTGTTTGATAGTGCGGGGATTTTAGAGGATCAGCAGTCAGAGAGTTCTTCGTACAGTTGTCGAGGTGAGTCTTCTCATTATATTCATGGGTCGAAGACACCAATGTAGGCCCATTACGTGTTATGTGAAATCAGGGGCGTATCTACAGTATAATAAGGGTATGCAATTTCATACCCTTGAATTTTTACAATAAATACTAATTATTTATGTTCTAAAAAATTTATATATACAAATTAGTTGTTGCATACACTCCTCAAAAAACTTGCATACCTTGAAAACAGGGGATGAAGACTCGCTAAAACAGTATTAAGATAATTCAAAGATTTATCTTCAAAATTTTAATACAAAAAAGAAAATCACATCTAGCTTTCTGACCCTGATAAACCGGAAATCATATAACAAATCTTCTAGAAATTATAAAAGAAAATCAAATGTTAATCCTAAAGATATCAACCCTAAAAACCCCAATACTAGAAAAACATTGTGCGAACATCATTTGGCATTCATAAATCACCAAATGATTTGCATCACCGGACGGTCCTCTCCGTCATAGCACCTTTCCGTCATGCGCTGCAGTACTAGAGCCCTTTGTATCAGATATGTAAATCATCTCGTCCCTTCATCTCTAGTTCTCCAGCGGACTGTTCACTTCTCTCCGGAAGAAGTGCATATAGTATCAGTATGTGCTTCTCTCTAACTCATTTTGTTAAATCTTGATAAAAATAAAAGTGTTTTAAAAGTAAAAGTTGTTGTCCAATGTTTGCTAACTGCTCCTTTGTATAGGAAATAGAATAACAAATTGAAACTTGTGCCTAGAGTCTTTACCATAGCATAACCCTACGTACGTACCTGAATTACATTCTTTTTTTTTTTTTATCAAAACCCCCTTTGTAAGTTATGTCTTTTATTTATTATATGCATTAAGAACTTGTCACATATATAATGTTTAACAATATATAATATTAGAAAATTGATATATAGTTGGTTAACTAAGATTATAAACAAAAAAAATGAAAATTGTATATTGTTTCCAATATTTACAAT